ATGCCCGTGGTGCTCTCGTTTTGAAACGGTGGCTGCCGAACGGGCCCTTAGTAAGTTACTATTCGGACCAGCCTCGTAGACAACGTCTCGTAATGTTTTTTGGTTTCCTGTAAGGCTGTTGATGATAGATGAACTTGAATGCTAAGCAGATCAGCTGCTATCCGCATCTAGCATCCAGACTTCTCAGGCTTGAGCCGACATTGTTACCCGACATTGTCCTGACATTCCTTCGCGTGACTCTACTATTATTATAAACACCATGTTCAAAGCGCAGGAAGGGAGCACACTCGTAAGTTTTTCTTTCAGTAACATGACCTTTAAAGCAAGCTCATGCCAATCATGTCAGGATTGTATGGAGTGGTGTGAGTCCTGTTGTTTTTGTTGAGCAAAAATTTCATTGTTGCTGCAAGCAAGCCTAACCGTAGCACCTGTTTTCTTGGGGTTTCGTTCCCCGCGGTTGTTAAGCCGATGGCACTCGGCCCCTTTTTGATTACCACCTGACCACTTTCCTTCGCTTACCGAAAACCGAAAGCCTGCAAACGAACGAAGATCTCTATTTGAGATAATAGGAGGACTCCATTCCGTAAATTTTATTCCGCTATTCCAATCAGAATATATTTCAGATTTCTCCACCAAAATTTCTAACATGCCGTCGGTCTGCCTCTGCAGACAGACAGTTTTTCAAGATAGGGAAAAGCGACATTACTGTCTACCTCTTCTTCATCATTTTAATATACTAATGTCAGGTCTTTTTCGCTTGCAATCAGTAGGCGAGGAGGGAAAGGGTGCGTGCGTTTTTTGGTTTCTATTGGAATTTGTATGAAGGCGAAGACCAATGGCAATATCAAGGATTTGATCACGAATTGATCGAGATTTCCGAGGTCGCTGATCTTGGATCACACTGCTAGCCAGTTTCAGTATCTGCTTCCTTGATCTCATCTTAATAGAAAACTCATCTTATAACCATGGAACCTAATGCGGAGACTGCCATCTCCATCTGATTTTTAAGCGCTGACGGAAACCGTGATATTCCCATCGTCTCTCCTTTCAATCCAACCGTTACCTCGCAGTGGAGAACTACTTTTGTGTCAGTCCACGTCGTTCGTCAGGCATCCTTCGGGGGATTGAAAGGACTAACGATGGCAGAGAATCCTGCTGAAGTAGCGTGAGTGCCATGTATATTTTCATGATTCTATATCAAATCTTCAGCACGCTAGTCATGGACCGTTCCTCATTGGCGTTGTTCTCAACCTCGTTTTATATGGTATTATGACCACGCAGACATTCTTGTACTTTACGACGTATAAAAAGTATGTCACCTTCTTTAATATCAATGGCTGCTAATATCGAGCGCAAATCTATCTCATCTAGAGATCGGCTATGGATGAAGTTCTTCGTATGTTCCATGTCGTCGCCCTAACCGCAGTTTTCTGACATTAGAAGGTGTTGGCTAATTAGGTCTCTATCCTATTCATCGCAGACACAGTCAGTGCAGTCTTGGACATTGTGTATATTTACGATTCTCTCGTTACTCATTTTGGTCAGTGCTGCATGCTGTTTTGTTGCCATAAATATAAATTAACCACTACCATCATTTAGGTGATGCCTTATTCCTCGCAAAAGCAAATTGGGGCTAGTGTTTCGTATCACACTCCATATTTTGTACTGACATATTCTTCTTAAACAGTTTTTGCGGCAGGTGAGTAATAGTCTTTTGTTTTTGTTTTCAGCGACTCATTATGGATTCTACTATCATCAATCTATTAGAACCATCAATGACAGTATGTATATTTACACCACAAAAACGCCAATACTGAGGTTATTTCATGGCTTAACAGGGTATAACCGGTTCCATGGTTCAAGCCTTCTTTGCTTGGCGCGTGTACATCATTTCAAAGAATATCTGGACAACCGTTGTTATCCTTTCTTGTGCCATAGCAGGGTTTCTCTGTTCGATTGGCACTTCGATTGCCATTGCCATTGTCCCACAGTTCTTAGAGTTCCAGAAATTCCAAGTTGTTGTTATTATCTGGCTCGTGTGTGCTGCTACTGGGGACATTTTGATCACCACCTCACTCGTTTGGCATCTGGTACGTTGACCTATCATGCTAGTTCCTTGGTAGATTAAAAATGATGTACTTCCAGAACAATCACAAGACAGGGTTTCGAGATACGGATGATGTTATCAACCGTATCATCAGGCGTAAGTCTATCCTCATGTTACAACAACCCGGGCTTGACTAATGTGAGGCCGAAATCATGTAAACTGATCGATCAGTCACTGTACAAACTGGCTTCGTTACCGCGGTGTGGGCCGTTGTTGACTTGGTGATTTTCCTCACAATTGTAAGCCGCTTACTACTGTATCGGGTTTTAATAACTTTGCTGACTGGTACCCTACTTTCGGTTCATCATAGTCTACTGGAATGTAAATCCGCAAACCTCGTCACTTTATCATTGCTTCCGATTGATGATTTCGCATTTTGCAGTCATCTCATTTTCAATGTCCCCCTGTCGAAACTTTATACTAACTCGCTAATGTCAAGTCTCAACTCTCGAGGTGGATGGAAATTCACGCGATCGAGTGAAAACAGCGACAGTCATAGAAGCGCACATAGGGGTGTGAGCACATAACTCTCCTTACTTCGTTTTCTTCCTGTACCTGTAAGGGATTTCAACTATTTGCTGAACTCCCAATCCCACAGACGGATGTTATTCAGCTGTCATCGGCAGCACGTCCTGAAGTAGGTTATTTCGAAGCTACAGAATCCACTTTCGCATAGGTTTAATCTTCTCTGCAGGTATTCGTCAACGTCGAGTCTCACCAAATGGTAGACATCGAAGATAGCAAGACACCCGATAGTTTCTTCCATGACGCCAGTCACTCGCATTGGGAGCACAAGAGCACCGTAAGGAGTGTTGTATAGCATCACCGGCTTGCGATATATCGTGTATGCCGAGGACAGGCTGGCATGCATCCAAAAATATTATAAGTCCCACTCAATTTGTGTTTTTTTTTTATTTCGAAACGCTTTGTTTTCATTTGTATTTGCATTGTAACGATTACAGTTTTAAGATAGAGTTGTGAAGGAAACTTACGAGTTTTCAGGAAACTCATTTTGTGTGATTAGGTCATTCTGTGAGACGTTACAATAATTTGTATAGGATTCTGAAGATTGAAGAAAATGAGTTGAGTAAGTTCGACGGAAAAGTATTGAGTTGGGGCAAATCATTCTAGCGCGTCTTTGACATTCAGTCGAAAAGGTGGCAAAGACTGATTACATTGCATGACGTTATGGGGGTCGACTTGATCAGCTCGACTTGAAAACGCCTTCCAAGTGCTGAGTACTACGAACCGTCAGTAAGCTGCAGCTTGGTGCGAAACTTAGCTAGCTCTAATGCCCGGAACACGCCACTTCACCATGGGATTGCGCCAGAACATGTGAACTCGATTTAGAACGACACAGAACCTTGCACCTAGAAAGCGCAATCCACGGTATTACAAAGCTCCTTAGCAAGCAGCCCCGGCGTAGAGCTTTAGATACCAAGATAGAAGCTGCGTGCTGGTATATAAGGATGGGAGAAATAGAATCAACCGCAGTTCTCAGTTCAGTAACAAACACTCAGTCGTGTCACCCCTCATCAGAAACCAATTCCTCACCAAATAAACAATGGCGACAGCAGCGGTTCTTGCTCCCCATGATGTTCACACCAGCTTGAACTACTTTTCGGCAACCAACGATGAAGCCCCATACAATTATGTCCAAGCTCCCCCTCCAGGCGTACCCAAGAGCAATGTCGGGGCAGAATCGCACCCTACTGTCATTCACGATATTCGTGGCCAAGAGCACACCGTCGGCTTAGACAAGACCGGTTTCCAGTTTGTTAAGCACGTGAGCGAAGAGAAGGACTTCTTGGATGATGCAGCCATTGGGGCCAAGTACTACAAAGAAGTGGAGGAATTACTGAAGAAGGAAGCTGGGGCAAAGAAGGTATTCATCTTTGACCACACAATAAGGTGCGAGGTCCTCTTTGGTTACGAACTTTGGTGTCTTGACTAACTTTCACGTCAGGCGAAACTACAAGGACCAGTTGGGAGATAACACCCGTGGCCCAGTGGTAAGAACATAGTCTAAACAGTATATGCAACTCGAATCTTACCATCTTCTAGCAACGTGTACATATCGACCAAACTTTCGAAGCTTCTGTCCAAAGAGTCTATCGTCACCTCGGCGACGACGCTGAACGTCTCCTCAAAGGGCGCGTCCGCATCATCAATGTTTGGAGGTATGTCCTGGTCCGATATAGGATCTACATGTGTGTTCTTATTTTTTTTTTTGCATTGCAGGCCTATTGGAAACCCTGTTGCTCATAACCCACTCGCTGTTGCTGATTATTTCTCCATCGATGTCGACCACGACCTTGTCTCTACACGCCATATCTACCCAGATCGTGAAGGAGCCACTTTCAGCGTTCGTTATAACCCTGGTCATAAGTGGTACTTCCTCGCGGACCAGCGTCCAGACGAGGTAACACTGATCAAGTGCTTCGACTCCGATGTCGACAAGGCCAGGTTGACTCCTCATTCGGCCTTTGTCGACTCTACGAGTCCCAGTGATGCACCCCTCAGGCAGTCGATCGAAGTACGGGCTTTAGTCTTTGATACCGAGTAAATGGCGAGTTAGTAAATGAGGGAACTGTTGTGTTGTAATCACAGAAATAGTCGAATTTATGCGGAAAATCATGAAGATGTATTTGATAGTCACTGTAAATCATTTTTGATAAGCCACTGATGTTTTAGTTATGCTGCAGTAAAAGTCAATGCAAACTACTCACTACTCGTCCCATGGTATTACATTTTCAACGATACATCAGAGTATACGAGACGGTGATTAACAACAGAGACGACACATGAACCCCAGTCGGAAACAACAATATTTAGGCCAATATAGAACGATTATCACCGAATATATGATTGTATGTCTACCTCAATCCCAGAATGACCCCTTTTATCTTGGCACTCGATTACCATACAATGTAGACTATATAGATTCATTATATCATTTTATATCATTTTATATCAGTGACTTAAGAATAATTCCATCAGAATTAAATTGATTGAAAACGAAAATCATTGATTTATTTAACAAACATCAAACACGAATGAAAACGAAACAAAACGGAACAAAATGATTTACTAAGCAGACATTGAAATCGATACATAGCGAATCAAAACGACTACCCTTTCGCATCCAGTTTCTATTTAACAAAAATGTAATATAGTATTAGTAATAGCAGACCAATAAAAAGAATATTGTACGCACCATAACTGCAGCATCAGAAGCATATTTCTAAGACAGATCAGCAAAGCTATAAACAAACAGAAAGAAACTTACCCTTTGCAGATCCTTCGAGAGATCCTTGTAAAAGATGTCGAAGTCTGCTTTGAGTCCACTGGGGTGATCTTGAAGCCAGTCCTTGGCACATAAATTTCTACACAGAAATCAGTAAAGTGTATGATACAACGAATACGATGTACCTCGGTGTGATGGCAGTCGTTACCCTCAAGTAATCCTTATTCGGTGCCTTCTTTTTTCCACCCTCTTTTCCACCATTCGTAACCTCGACAGCTGATGTCAATGCCAATGCAGCCGATACGATCTCTGACAACCCAATCTCTGAGACCGGCTTATGAACTGATGTGACGGATGGAGCGGGTGGAACGAATGATGTGGAATGGTTGGCCTAAGGTGGTATAACATTGTCAGTAGAAATACCCAAAATCATAATACGTACATGGGTTTTTTCAACCTAATTTTGAAACTGGACACCTTCGTATTTTCTGGTGCATTGTTCACGATACTCTTACTTGTTATGTTCTCGGTGGTATTCCCACTCGTGCTGTCACACTGATTCGATTCGCCTAAGCTCGAGCACGTCGCAAAAGCATTCGCCTGTGTGTCAAATGACTCTGACAAATCGCCTGTCTCCGGTCCTGGTCTAGCCTTCTTAATTGCCGCGTCATCTGGCCATGTTGCCTTGGATGCCTTCCATTTACCCAAAGAATCTTCGGATGAGCCAATTTCTACGGAAGTTGCCTCAGCCTTGACTGCTTTGCCGATAACATGGTACCGATGCCACCTTGAGTACACCTCACAGGCAATCCTGGAGGCCTTTCAGTTGTCCGCACAATAGCCTAATAAAACTAAGTGAAACTCAGCCGCTGCCCAAGAGGCTATAGAAACGACTTTATTATTTACCTAAGTGAAACTACAATAGATGTTAGTTTAAGGTGATCTCTAATAAATGTAATGTAACATACCTCAGCCGCTGCCCGAGAGGCTATAGAAACGACTGAGGTATTCCTATACTAAACCCCCTACTACTTATAGTCGGAGGTGCTACTCGCTACAGTATAATGAAAGTTGGGATGACACTGCAAAAAAGACTTGATGACAACAGTATTATTCTGTAGCTCGTTAAAATAAGACTGTATAAGCTTTCAGATTGCGGCGGCACGATGCCCATCAATTATGTCTCCATTGGCAAACTCCACAAACCTTGTCGCAATGTTCACGCCTTTAGCGCATCGACCAGGTCCACGCGGTCCAGCAGACTTCTCGATTACATCCGGTAGGTTTTTCTTGGCATCAGTGGATACCTTCCAATCATGTGCAGTCCAGAACAACATATCCGGAAAGTCTTCCCGGTTATACTGATTGATTACTAATCTTGGTGGCTCTTGCGGTCCCATACTAGTTATACTTGATATCGATTTTGCAAGTGTATTGAAGTTTTCTCTGTTTCTAATAGTAGGCTATATGCGTGATATGAATGCTTTCCACTCACTGAAGATTATTATATTTTCCTGTAATGAGAATCAATTCATTTTTGACCTTCTTGTATTTGCTTAATAGACGCTCATAGGATTGGTGCTGTTTATTCTTGCTTATCCCTTTGCTATATGCCGTTGTTGGCAAATACATGTAGCTCTCCTGAAAAAGGTTAGTAAATGAAATCAGGAACATTTACAAAATACCTCTTCTGGTGATCCGGGAAAATAAACGGAGGTTGTAGTCGACTTCAGGATTGATCGGGCAAATATATCCAAGTCGCCATCGCCATAGCTTGAAGGGGTAGGAGAAGAGAATGAGAAGTTTGACATCTCGCAGATGAAGGATTTTTCTTTTGCTGTATTCATTGTGGTGATCCTAGAATGGTAGTGGTACGAGGACAAGGAGAGGGGTTTTATTGCACTGGGGAAATTGACATCTTGGGGCACTGGGTCTCGTGACCATAATTATTGGGTTGCAAAGGTACACTTTTCCCTATTACTTTGACATCTACTAGGCATCTACTGCTGCTGCCATGACCAGTACTACAGCAAATATCACAGATATGAGTATATCTCACATTAAAGATGTTGTAGTACTCTATGTCAACAATCTGACAACCAATTGGATGACTTACTCTTTTACCATTACTCCCAATCATCCAGGCCCTCTGGTAACACTTTTATTCTATTTCGTACTTTATATTCTACTGATATGATCTACAGACATTTGTTGTGAAGCTCAAACAAAATGGCCAAAACCAAACAGCTCAAATTGCAGGAGATGAAACTCACGTTGTGGCCCACCCATCCAAACTTCTTGTACAACATTACAATCCTGCATATTGTGCCCCATCCGGCTACCCTGTTGTCGGCTACAAGGTTCGTCCCATTAAGCAAGAGTCAATCATTGCAAACGAGATAGAAGGAGTGGAGGAGCATTGTGTACCATGTAAAAGGATCAAAGTGGAGGATTAGATGGGTATACGGAAATGGAAGAAAATAATATTCGTGTTATTGAGGGCATGTATGTACAATTAGTTATCATTTGCTTCCAATCCAGGCCCTTCATCTTCTTCACTTTGCCCTGCCATGATTCCAATATCAAGACCTGGTTTTTCGACAACAAAAAACCTCTGCTCTTGTTCACCAGGTAATATGTGGGGCACCATTGTGACTACCGAAAGTATAGAACTTGTTTTGATAACTTGTAGTGAGTTATCTCCTTCATATTTACAGGAATAGATGACAAATTATGACATTTGTTTATAGTATGAGAAAACATGCATTGGCCAGGGCTTGAACCTGGGACTCCAGCTTTCATGGTCTGGTGCTTTACCAACTAAGCTACCAAGGCGTACTTGGAAAGCATACTGACTGGTTGCATTCCCAGAAGGTCCAGAATCACTGTACACGGGTGCGGATCCCATTGTGTTGTGATAATAGACGGTATGCGACGAATCTTGGAGAAGTCCTTGTTTTGGTTGGGACCAGATAGATACCACAGCAATAGTGTGTATGTTCTCATCTATTGTCAACTGTAGGTAGTATAGTACTTCTGCAAATTCAATTATATTGCCTTGTGCACATATCTATAAGATGTAAACAGACTATTGAAGTAAAACTTGAATTTAATAGAGTGTTGTTTATGCACTTTTACATGTCGAGAATGCTGCAAAGCTCGTTTCCCTGGCATGTCTTCCCCCCATGCAGATCGAGCAATTTGTCCTGATGGTAGTCCTAGCCTAGCCCATTTGCGAACACATCCTTCAGGATTGAATTGCACACCAAACTGTTGACAGTATACATTTAGTGCTGTTGCCTCACATGCATGAATAGCTTTTGGAGTGCGCTCGCGTTTCCGAAGGAGGGTATATCCATCTTCAAGCTTTACAGAACCATGAGGAGGAGGAGGATCTGGTTCAAGGTCTGGGATCATGGCTTTGAAAGCGTTAATCTGTGCTTGCAAAACTGCTCGTTGAGATAGGTTTTGATATGGGCTAGAATGGAGGCGAATCTCTTGGCCAAGGTTGCCAATCGTCCTTTCCATGGTCCATTAAGAAGAGCAAATACCGGGGCCTGCTCTTTTGACTTCAGAAGCCATGTGTAGAAGGGAGTGAATGGATGGTCGAACAAAGTGGATGCAATTTAGTTGGCATTGATAGTATATTAGCTCATACTCTATACAAATGTTGTAAGGAATTTATTGGCTTCGTCGAGCTCCTCATGCATGATTTTGTGCTGATGTAAAAGACGCACTCCTCGGACAAGTTTGCAAAAGTGTTTCCAGTAAGGCAGAGGTAACACTCCATAGAGTAATGCTGGTCCTAGGCCGAAAAGATACATCAGGTACTCCCAGGCCTTATATCAGCTTGATATTTACTCAGCTGGGTCATAAGGTGGTTGGTCAAAAGACCCAGGGAGGTACTACGAAGCTCTCGCTACGTCTTTACCATGGTCTGTCCAAATATCTCCTTGGAGCACGGCCCATACCCAGGTATCTTTGTCATCTGTTGGGTCGCAATCAAACATGCCACGCCAAAGGGGGATTAAAAGGTCTGGGTCGTTTAGAGAAATTAAGTGAATTATGTCGGAACCAAAACAATTTGGTATTCCGAGTATTTGTGTTGACGGTAGACCCATGAATAAGCTCAGGGCGGCAATTCCTGTCTCAAGACGGTTTTTCTTGAATTGAAGCTCGCTTGATAATGACATTATGGTTCGGAGGTTTTGAGAGTAGGTTGTTGACAAGTTTGTGGTGGATTGTAAGGTGAAAGGGTTGATGTCGTCATGTGAGGATTTAGGAACATTGTAGTCGTCAGTTGGCTTGAGGAGTGCCAGGTAATAATGTTTGCCATTTGGTTTAAGACATCCATGTGTCCCACAGTAGAGTAGAGTCTACAGCCATTCTTGCCATTATGACCAACCAGTCCATTTAAATATGCCATAGCAGGCCCATCAGCAGTTACAAGCGCAAGGAATGGCTTTGAGGTGAATAAATGGTTTGAGGATGCGTCCCATACCCAAAGACCTTCCTTTTGAATTGCTGAGAGATGATGGAGCCCTGGAAACACGAAAGAGTTTAGGTTTTTTTGGTTTTTTGGGTCCGGGGATAACGCAACCTGGTAAGACATGTCGTTTTTGTATCTCTGATCCGGAGATAGGTCAAAGATGACCCATATGTAGATCCAACAATCAGACATTTTCTTGTTGTACAATTGAGTGCTGTCCATGGAAAACATCAGGATTGTATCCCCCTCTTGTATTTTTCCTTCTTTGACAGCTTGAATATATTCTTCGCCTGCAAAAAAATCGTCGAACTTTGTAATCTGGTCGTGAATGTTGAGTTCATCTAGTAGTTCTTGAGTTTTCATATTACGGTATTGCATATTTTTTGTGTTGGTGGAGTCTCGCCAAAGAGCTTGAATTTGTGGTCCGATAGGTATGGTGTGGAATTGTTGTTTCGATTTCTTTTTTTGTCCTTGAGTAGCCTCCAAGACACATTCGTCGTATCACGATGTATCACACTTCGGACACTTTTCAAGGCAGGCTAATGGCCCTGTATATGCTATACAGGAATTGATGCACATATCGTGAACCAACAAGTCCACTCCTGTAAGTTCGACCATTCGGTGCTTCATGCGATAGTGTGAAAGTATCTTGTCTGCATGTTCTGGGTGCAAACATGCATAGGCCTTGCAGACATCATTGTAAGTTTGCTCAGATGCGTTGGTGGTTGCCAGGAAGAGGTCGAGAGTGAAACATTTGTGAGCATCTTCGAGAACACATGGATGCTGGGGAGGATTTCGAAGCCGTTTGAGAGTTTCTGGATGGATTGGCATGTTCGGATCATCCAGATTTGCGTCTTTGATTGCACTGAGAAACTCAATGGCATTTTGAAGATCTTCGAGCTGCATGAGGTCCGATAGCTCCTGTAATTCCGCTTCATCCAATGTTTGAACATCTTCGGGAGGTGCGCGAGAATCTGTAGTTTTGGGAGATGCTGGGTTTGGTGAAGGATTAGGATTACTTGGAGTTTGAGAGCATTGACAATGATCTGTATGAATGGATGGATGCTGATAATGATTGAATGAATGTAGCACATAAAAAAGGGACAGGAACATACTTGTGTACCCTCTGCTATATCCTGTTGTATCTGCACCGCGTTGTGAGTGCATTTTAATAAAACTAAGTGAAACTCAGCTGCTGCCCGAGAGGCTATAGAAACAACTTTATTATTTACTTAAGTGAAACTACAATAGATGTTAGTTTAAGGTGATCTCTAATAAATGTAATGTAACATACCTCAGCCACTGCCTGAGAGGCTATAGAAATGACTGAGGTATTCCTATACTAAACCCCCTACTACTTATAGTCGGAGGTGCTACTCGCTACAGTATAATGACTCCTAGGAGTATAATGGTTACTCCATGGAGTGGTGGCTATGCTCCATGGAGAACAATGGCTGCTTCGGCAGAGACCGGGTTTATCCGGTTTTGTCACATTTTTGTTTGTTAAGGGGTCTCTCAGGGAAGTTCGAGGATGTCGAAGCGGTGGGAACTGGATCTGGGTTGCGGTAACCAAGTTCTATGGCCTTGTCTGCAATGAATCGTTTGGTTGCGTCGGATAGGAGGCTTTTCCGGTGGTCCTTGTGCCGGTGGTATGTTTTCTTTGATACTATCTTGAGGACACCTTTGCAGTATTTAATGCAGTTGCAACGATATTGTCTGTGCTGCTCAGGAAGAGGAGGGACAGGATCCATGATGATTGTCATAGAAAGCGAGAAGGCAGCACAAGACTGCTTAGTATGGTTGCGCTATGCACAACTCTACTATGCAGTTTTGCGTTGCACATTGCACGTCTGAATCGAGCTGGCGTGATTAGATTGGAGTCAAAAATGAGACCGAGCCTAGATTTTCAATTGTTTTCAATCGTGAGATTTGTGCGCTATATCTGTCTATTTGTTTGGCAATCATACATTGGCTGACAATCTGTCTAATTCTGATTCTGTCGTGTGGTTTCTGGCTGGGCATGAACAATGTCCACACTATGATAGATCCGTAGTTTGATGGATTTGCTAGACGTAAATACAAGTTGAGTCCACACTACGCGCTTACTACCATCGACAAAATTGCCATAATTGTACCATTTATACCGTTAATATCCATAGAAAATGAATTGAAGATCAATTTCCCACAGTCAGTAATCTAGAACCTGACATCAGTCCATCATTCCAACTCGATCAGACACAAGATAACAGAATGTAGTGCGATTGTGCTGCACTCTGTTATCTTGTGTCTTGCACATCAATGGCCTCTATTCACCCTTATAAAGAATTATATTGTGACTGTTTCATTCAAGCAACCTTGAAAGGTTTTCGAGCTTTAGCAAATTAGACAACATCAAAATGGCCATGTCCTTTATCAATGCAATCAAGAATGCGATAATAAATCTAAGTGAAACTCAGCCACTGCCCAAGAGGCTATAGAAATGGCTGAGGTATTCCTATACTAAACCCCCTACTACTTATAGTTGGAGGTGCTACTCGCTAAGGTATAAAGACTCCTAGGAGAACAATGGCCGCTTTAGCAGAGACCGGTGTCGATGATGAGAACTGTTGTTAGAAAACCACACACAAAACAAACTAACACACAATCCTCCCAGATTCCACGGAACTTGTTTATGGGCTTTGCCTCCTAGAACAGTGGAGTGGTCTGGTTGTTCGTGGGGTGGTACATATAAAGATCCTTCAAAGTAAAACCCAGAGGTGTATGAGTGTGGGTTTTGAGGAGGAGGGATAGTTGAATTTATAGAAAGATAGGGGCTTTGTGGCGAGTATAGACGAGCACTACCTTGCTAATTGTAGCACAAGGTAGGTTTGAGAACAACGAGGATGACGAGGTGACGAGGTTCCCAGTGATAGCAGGCTCCTGACGCACAAACTGTAGTGCTCAGAAGGACTCTAATCGAAGGGGATGACAATCACTTTCAAAAGTGACGAGTGACAATGACAGCAGTTGACAGTGGTAGAAGTGGGAAGTGTTGTGACCACACTGGATCACAAGTAGCAGAGTAGTGAACTTGAGAGTAGAGAAGAAGTCTGGATTGGATTTCTTGTTGTTTTTTTTACAAGGTAAAATACAGGGGTTTATATAGTAAAAGAAAAGTAGGCTATGCACAGTATAGCTGTGCAAAAAGAATGAGAAAGAACATGAAGGAAGGAATGTATGCTGACGAATCCTGCGTAGGTAGTACAGGATAAGATTGTCAAAAAAAGGAAAAGAAAGAGATAGAACAATGAATGCTGTGAGTAATGTCACAGGTTTGTACAGCCATAAAGTAAAGTCCAATAGCAAAAAGAGAGCAGGAAAATCATGATGTCATGAGAAGATGCAGTAAAAAAAAGGGCAAGGCAAAACACTATCAGTATCAACACAGTTCCTTTATTGTCAGTCAGGCATTCTACAAAAATATGTGTCCATAAAAATGATTCAAAAATCAAAAATAATCGCACTGTAAATGAATGTTCTGCTGAAGAAAAAGAAACTGGAGCCACCGGTCCACCACCTAGTCCAAATCCGACAGTTCCATGGCCTTACCAATGGACTGGTTGTGTTGGACCACCTGATCAAACGAGGGAGGGAGAGGAGTAGTTCCAATTTGGAACAAGTGAGTCCCAGGCAGCGTGTGGTAGGTGTAGCTGTAGCAAAGACGATGGACAAAATATAAGTGTACCCAAGTGAATGGGACAGCGATGAACATGGGCAACGCAAGGGGATGAACCTTCTCCAGCTCAAAAACTACCCACCCACGCTCCAACCAGGCAAGACGAGCGACCAATGTTTTGATAGTATATGATGGTAGATCGACGTCATGAAGACGGACCTGTTGCCCTATTTGAACCGGCCGCCGGGGCTTTGCTGATATCAGCAGTGGCATGTGGTAGTCAACGGATCGGCGACGGAAGCGGATAGGAAGTGGTGACATCAGAAATGGTGGGGGTGCAAATAAAATGAGGAGGAGGAGGGTGGAGGTGATGGAAAAGTGGATTAGAATGGGGATCCAGAAACGACCGTCAGGTGAGAATAAAAAGGAGAGGAAGGGGCCCATGGTGGGGCTAGGCAAAGGAAGGGGAGTAAGGGAAACGACAAAAGCGAGGGCGCAATGCAATGTGTAGCCAGTGGCGACGCGAAAATTTGCCGAAATGCTGAAATGCGGAAAGTACCGAATGGAAAAGCAAAGGTGAGCGTGACTGGATTGCCTAATAGAGGTGGTGCTGATCAGCCACAAGTTCAAAAAGGGCAATATTAATTACTATTCCACGTGGCACTGTGCCTGTGTGGCGCAAAGGCGAGTCTTTTTGAATATTCGCTTCGTTATTGACACCTGTCCATGCTACCAATCAACTTTGGTGCATGACACCGGGCTTATCCAGTTTTGTCATGTGACACTCAACAACAGCCAAACAAACATGGATTAAGAGTCAATACAATGTCTGTTACATCCCCCTGAATGTGAGGCAACGATAAACTATAACAAAAACTAAACCTATCTCCTTCTGCACTTGCAGGGAGTAAGGGTTCAATGAGCTTGAGGTCGACAGATGCTAGCAAATATAGCGAGTAGAGGACTTTGAGAGGTAAGCTTCAAAGGTTCTTGTTGAGGAGTAAAGCGGGTAAATTCAGTAATAGAAAGCTAAGGAGTCATACAGGAATAGGTACGGCTTTATATAGGGAACTGTCTGTTCCTCAGACCGAAAGAAGAATATACGAAAAGTGGTCTGAGGAATTAATCAACCAATAAGAAAAAGGGGAAGTAACTATCGTACGACTTCTGACTTGATTAATCAGCATGTGAGAGACTTGTACTAATAATAGAGGATTGTTACGCGTGGTCAGGAACCGCATCCTCATGATGAGGTACGATTCTAGATAAGGCGTTATTAGTATTACCAGGCTTTACTGGGGCTTGGAGCTGGTTGGCGAGATGCCTACTACCAGTCTCTACCCAGTGTGCTGGCTGGCTGGGAGTGATGCCCAGTCTCTGATCTGTGATATAAAGTGGTAACGATAGTTAAGAAAGCCTGTGAGGGCTATGAGAAGTAGAACGGCAAACGATACCTCTAGCCCTAGAGCCAGAGGCGTAATGGGAAAAGTGTTCGAGAACCAAGACATTGCGAAGATAAGGAAATAATAAAATGGTCCTTACATTACCCCCCCCTTTTATATTCTTGTCCCAAGAATCTTAGCGCCGCAGTCCGTGAAGCGGTTGGTGATCCAGTCGAAGAGACGGGGTTTTTCGGTTGTAGTAGTGAAATTTTCGTAGGGACGAAATCGTAAAGCGGCTGAGGCGATGACGCGCGGGGCGGCAGAGTGTTTGCGGTGGAAGGTGGCAATAAGCGAGGGGGAATTTTTCAAATGGTGATCGGGTTCCCATGTCCTTTCCGTGATCGGATATCCCTTCCAATGGACGAAGTAATCGAGCTTAGCCCCTTTGAGTTTAGTGGGTCGAGAAGCGATGATTTCTTCGGCTTCGTATTCAACTGCGCCATCAACTTGGATTGGCGGAGGTTTCGAGGTACGAGGTTGATTGGGGAACTCCGGCGTGTGATACGGTGATAAGAGGATTTCGTTGAATACGGGATGGATCGCTTTCCAGGATCTAGGGACGTCAAGGAGATAAGCGGATGGGCCGACTTTTGCCTTTACCGTAAACGGGCCAAATCGCTTGTCATCTAACTTCTTCATCGGTCGATCGGTGGAAATATGAGTTCCTTCTAACCACACCTTATCCCCTTTGTGATATTCCCGTGCTTCCGTGCGTTTTCGGTCATAGTACTTTTTGAGGTTTTGATTAGCAAGCAATAGTGATTGCCGAGTTTGCTCGTGTAATTTCGTCATAGAGGTTGCGAAATCTT